CTGTCTCCAAGCTGATAGGTAGTATGATGATAATGTTTCTTTAAGGTCCCAACCACTAAAAGTCAACAGAGTTCTGTGAAACAATTTTTAACAGCTAATATGATACATGTGCCTATGTCTATTAAATCCAACATATTGAGTAATCTCCTATCAACCTTATCTATTAACTCTACTGATATCAAATGGAAGAACACTAACAATAAGACTCCTGGAACTAGCCAGTTTCTTGGCATTAAACTGACAGCTTTTTGCACCATACACATGTTGGGCTGATGGTGTGTAAAAAAATAAATCATAATAAGCCTAAGCAGCTAGTGAATAGTGAGCTGAAATAGGAAAATAGCAAACAGGGAAGACTAATGAAACTTTATTTTAGGGGTTCATGGAAGCACACCCTTAAACAATATGACAACTGTGGATAGCCCAAAAACAACTACAACTACTCAATAGCATGGCTATAGAACACAAAAACAAAGTTATTTTCTAAACGAGGGTTTTAAGTCTGGCAAGAGTCTAGGAGGCAGCATTAAAAGCACTGAGGGGCATTTTGGACAGCAGTCATTTAACAAAAGAGATACTTCACAAATGTTCAGTGCGGACATGGTTCGTAAGCACAAAACAAAATTCATCATCACAATAATGTGATCTTAAAAAATAAGCAGCAGTACAGGCCAGTATTGTGTTATGATTTAACCAAAGACAACTTCCAAAGAACCTGAGGTAACCTAAGATAAACACATAGTATAAATGTATTTAAGTTATTTTAGCAAGTAAAACAGAGGCCCTCTAAGAAACAGCAGAAGTTCTTTCAGCCAGTGGATTGAATATGAGAGCAATAAATTTGGCTTTACATTTTCTAATCAATGGAGTGAAAATAGCAACATGCAGTTATATAGTTTTCATTTTCTGACACAAATTCATCTGCATCAATGATTTTTTTTCCTGAATAAACTCAAACAGGAATTTATCAAGTGGATTCTTATATAAAGGGCACAAAGTGACAAAATAAACTCTCTTCAGTTGTCATTTTACAAAAAATACACACAGGCTTTTCAAACAGACAATTCTCATATCTACTTTTTATAAAAGTAGAAGAGGCATGACAGCAAAATATGATTCATAGAATTCATTTCTACAAGTGTTTGCAATAAGGTGGTCCAAATAGTTTGCTTTAGGATGTTCTAACTTAATAGAAGGTAAAAACATGGAGAATCCTAATGAATGGATAGTTAACATGTTTAGGGAAGTTTCCTCTCCCATTCCCCCAAATATCAGATACCTTAAGTTAAATTCGGACAAGTACTGGGTTTCATCCAGCTTATTACCAAATTTTCTAACAGATCTATAATTGCTGATAATTATATTAAGGATTCAAATGAGGACCAAAAACTTTAGATTCTAGACATGAGAAGGGCAAAAATGACATTATTTTCTAGAAGATTTTGAGCTGAGCCCTCAGTCTGGCTCTCATCTATTTTTGCAGTCTTATTTTCATTCTACTCTCCTTCACAAATTCTATCTTTCAGTCAAACTAGATGTGCCCTGAACTCAAAATTACATCTCCAACCTCTAGACATTCACAAATGCCATTTCCAATTCAGAAAATGTGCCCCCTTTCTATCTTCCAGCCAAACAGGTATTCTTACTGCTATTCACAAACATTTCAGCTCCCACCTCTGGGCCTTTGCACTAGCTGTTACTCGTTCCTTAAATGCCCTCCCTCCTCATTTCCACCTCTCAGAATCTCTTGCTTTCTTTAAAATTCAGCTCAAGCTCTGCCTTATACACAAAGACTTCATCCTGATCACTGCTGCTGCAGGTGTTTTCCCCAAAAAACTACCTTGTATTTATTTTGTATATACTCATGTAAAACATTTTGTATATACTGGCCCTCCCAGTAAACTGTCAGTTCCTTAAGCGAAGGACTGGCACAGAGTAGGCACTTAATAAATGCTTATTGACTGACTGATTTCTGTCTCTCAGAATCTTCATCTTCATTTAAAGCTCAATTGAGTTGCCACATATTTCACATATTTCATGAAATCTTCCCTGATCTCTCCAATTATTAGTCCCCTCCTGCCTATTTTCCTTGTCCATGATGCATCCCCCCCCCCATAGAATATAAGCTGCTTGGGAGCCAGAACAGTTTCATTTCTGTCTTCTTTTGTCCTTATATCCTAATACAAAGAGTCCAACCAGTGCCTTTCATATAGTAGGTATTTAGTAAATGCTTGTTGAATGGAAATTATCAAATTTACAAATGGTATATTATTAAGAAGGGTGGATAACATTAATAACAGAAGCAGGTTCCAAAAATACCTCAACAGGATAAAAAATCGCATCAAATAAAATAAGATGAAATTAAATAAAAATAAGTGTAAATAAAGTTTTACACTTTATTGTAAAGTGTAAGGGGAGGCATAGCTAGATACCAGTTCTTTAAAAAAAAAAAAGAGCTAGTATTTTAGTGGACTGCAAGTTCAAAATATGTCAAGAGAATGACATAGCAGTCAAAAAAACTAATCTGATCTTAAGCTACATTAAGAGAAGCACAGTACTCAGGACTGCAGAGTTAATAGTTTCAGTGTGCTCTGCCCTGATCAATTTACATCTACAGGGTTGTTTTCATTTCTGGGCACCACATTTTAAGAAAAATACTGATGAGTTGGAAAATGTCCAGAGAGTGGCAACTGCATTAAAAGGCCTCCCTCAAATAAAGCCACATGAAGATTGCTGAAGGAGCAAAGAATGTTCAGCATGATAAAAAAATTTAAGGGAGACATGATAGTGTCTACAGGTATCTAAAGGGTTTTCATACGGAGAAGAAATTAAATTTGTCCTGCTTGGCCCACAAAGGCAGAACAAGGAGTAAATTTGCAATGAGGGAAATCTGAGCTTCATGAAAGGAAAATTTCCTAACAACTAGAGCAGTCCAAAAGTAAAATGGGCTGCCTTGGAAGGTAGTGAGTTCCTCCTCACTAGAGGGTGTGAGACAAAGCTGGATGATCATTTGTTGGGTATGTTGTAAAGAGGACTTGTTCAGTCATAGGTTAGCCTGGATTGCCTCTGAAGTCCCTTCTAACTCTGAAAGTTTTACGATTCTATATGATTCTATTCAGACAAAAGTTCTACTTATTTAAACACTGTCAGGAGTAGCGGGAGGTATATACAGGTACAATCTTTTTTTTTTTTTGGAAGTAGTTTTACACCTCAAGCTTCCAAGTAGGTAAGCATCATAATTTTTTTTAAAAAGAGTAAACATATATGCAACATGAGGTCCAACTAAAGATTGTTTTTAATTGCAGTTTTTCAAAAAAGTGTAGCTCAGCAGACAGGGTTAAAATCTAGCCACCAGCACTTAAAAGCTGTATGATCAAGAACAGTCACTGAATTTCTCTAAATATCAGTTTTCATATCTACAAGATGGGGATCAGATTCAAGATATAGAGCTGGAAGGGAACTCAAAAGGCATCCAGTCCACCCTCTTTATTCTACAGATGAGTTTAATGGGAATAGAAAGATAACCCACACTAGTCAGAAAACTGAGATGAGATAGATGAGGAAACTGAGGGCAGAGGAAAGCTTAGTTCCTTGCCCAAGATTAAATAGATAGTAAGCATCAGAGACTAAGTTGTGAAGCTCTAATAACATGTTATAAAGTACTATGTAAACTATAATCTGCATGTAATTCTAAACTACACTTGGAATCTGTATTTTGCTTACATAGTTGTAACTTTTACATCTGCTGCTGTATTTCTAAATAAATTTTCAAACTTTTTTTCTTATTAATCATTAGTGATTTTCAAAGTTTTTTTTTAAATATTTAACACTAAAACTGAAAAAATAATCAAATTCTAAAAAAAGTAAGTTTTTACTCTCCTGCATAATTTTGGAATTATGTACCAAAATGCAGGAACAGCTTAATATCTGATACTTCTTCATTCTTTAGACTATTTTTCACTAGCAAATAGAATGATAGAGCCCTAAACTTAGAATCAGGAAGACCTCAGTCCAAATCCTGCCTCAGCTACTTATTAACTCTGGGCAAATCACTCAGCCTCTCTGGGTCTGGGTCTCAGTTCCTCCGCAGTAAAATGAGAGATCTGGGCCAGATGGCCTCTAAAGTAGCCTTGAGCTCTAAAAATCTAATCCTAATTTATGATGTCTATCATCCATTTGCAAATCTTATGTTCCCAAGCCTTTTCATGATTATATAACAAATGTACCATTTCAATCACTTTTTCTTTCCATTTAAAAACATATCTCAAGACACAAGAGATATCAATGACCCACAGGCTTTCAGCCATTATTCACCAAGAACTCTGCTGCAAACCTGCAACTTACTGATATAAGGCTTTCTTTCACACTTCCAAATTTTAAAAACAAACACAAAACCCCAACAATCCTATCAACCTAAGGCCACCAGAAAAACTGAAGAGCTGGGGGCAAAGGGTATGGAAAACGCCCTCTCATTTGGCCTACCTGACACATTCTCTAAGGGGATTTACTTTCTCCATTCTCTTCCTCAGACACCAGGGCTGCCCAAGAATCCCAAAACTCAAGTTTTGGTCTGGGGAGTTAGAAGAGAAAAGAGTAAGGGCGTTTCCATGACAACCCTTAACAGAAGCAGGGGAAAGAGTTTCTCGGGAGAGCACGAGGAGGAGGAAGGAACAGATGGGAAAGGAATGAAGGAAGGAGGAAAAGGGATGGAGAGGAAGGAGTGAAGGAAATTGGAAAGAGATGGGAAAGTAGGAATGAAGGAAGGAGGAAAGGGATGGGAAAGTAGGAACGAAGACAGGAGGGAAGGGACAGGAGGAAAGGGACAGGACCGAAGGAACGGAATCGCTCACTGGATGTGTAAAACGCCCAGGTGGCCTTGGGTCCCGTGCGGAGGATAGGAAAGGGAGGGAGCCGGAGGCAGCGGGGCAGGGGCAGGGCTCGGGCTAAGGGCGGCAGGGCGGCCCCCACTCCCTCCTCCCAGCGCCGGCTCGCCCGCTTACCTGGACAGTGAGTCCACGCTGGGCGGCCGCGCCGCCGCGGGCTGGGAGCCCAGGCTCTCGCAGCTGGAGCTCTTCTCCATGGCGCGGCCGGGCCGAGTGCTGGGCTGGGGGGCGGGGGCGGCGGCGGCGGCGGCGGCGGCGGCGGCGGCGGCGGCGGCGGAGGAGGAGGAGGACAGGAGGAGCCGCGGTCAGCCCCGAGCCTCCCAGCCCCGCCGCAGACAGGAAGCGGCCATGTTCGCCCAGATTGCACTGCGAGCGAGCGGGGGCTGCGGGCGGGGCCGGCCCGGAGCCGGAGGAGCGCCCTCCCCCCGCCCCCGCCCCCGCCCCCGCCCCCGCCCCTCTGCTCCCTCCTCCTGCCGCGGAGGGAGGGGGGTGCGAGAGACCTCAGTGAGGGGGGTGGGGCATTCTGGGAAACAACAGGCAGGGGTGCGGGTCAGAGTGAGGCGAAAATGGGTGAAGGCATGAGCGGGGTTGAAAAAGATCAGGAAGGTGGGGTTGGAGGTGAAGTGGGGGAATGTCATAAGTAAGGGTCGAAGTAGGGCAGTGGATAGAGGGCCAGGCCTGATGTCCAGAGTCATCTTCCTGAATTCAAATGTGGTCTCAGACACTTGCTAGCTGGGTGACCCTGGGCAAGTCACGTAACTCTGCCTCCATTTCCTCCATTTCCATTGCTCATCTGTAAAAATGAGCGGAGAAGGAAATGGCAAAGCACCCCAGTATCTCTACCAAGAATACCCCAGATGGGGTCACAAGGTCAGACACAGCTAAACACACACAAGGGGCAATGTTGGGGTGAAGAGGAAGAACAAGGTTGGAGCTACCTCGGTGAGATGGGGTGGCTTCTAAGGTCCCTTCCAGTTCTAACTCTGTGTTTCTGTGACTTGGGGAATATGGAAATAAAGGGAAATGGTGATATGGGAATGTGAGCCGAGGATCTGGGGATGAGAGAGCTTTGGGTAAGGTGAGGAGGGTGAAGAGTATTAGAGTAATGGCAGGTAGGATGAGGTAAAGGTGGATGCTCAGTTCCTATTCCCCAAATTCAAGGCTCAGATAAGGTGAATGAAATTCTTCAGCTGCTAATACTAATGTAGGGGTGCTTTGGGGGAAAAATGGTAATAGAAAATATGGGCAACTAAGTGGCTCCTTGGATAGAGTGGTGGCCCTGGAGTCAACAGGACCTGAGTTCAAATCTGGCCTCAAACATTTACTAGCTGTGTGATCCTGGGCAAAGCCTCAGATCCTCATCTGAAAATATGCCGGAGAAGGAAATGGCAGACCCACTCCAGTATATTTGCCAAGAAAATCTAAATGGGAGCTTGGAGAGTTGGACAAGATTAAAACTACTCAACAACAATAGAAAATATGATAAAGTATGCAGTCTCAGTAACTTGGAGTGAGTGAGTGGGAGCATAAGGTTGGTGTGGGCTTGGGATTGTTGGTAATGTAGAGTATGGAATAAAAAAAAAAGGAGAAATATGGGGGAAAAAACTTCAGAGAGAAAGTATCTAGGGCTGGTACCAGCCCTCTTCCCTCTTCTTAGTTGCCTGCCCACAAAACAATATAGGAAAGGGTGGACATAAATAATGCAAGAGGAAAATTAAATATATCATGGGGGTGAGGCCTAGGTTAAGCTTATGCCGACTATTCCTGACTCCCTTCAATTTCCCATGTAGAACAGGAAGGCGGGGTTGAAGAAATAGCCTGACATTGATTGTGATGATAAGAGAGCAGAATTGGGCAAAGGGAGGATGCTGCTGTCAGTAATTTTCTGTTAACAGAGGACACAAAAAGATCAGAGGAAGGATACCAAGTGAGGCATTTTTAAATTGATAGTGAACAATTGAAATTCCATCTCTTGGAATGTAGAGAGTGAGCAAAAGCTGTTATTAACTATTAGCAAATTATGCAATGAACCTGTAAAAAAAAAAGAAAGAAAGAACTTGAATGATAGGGAAAATTTTTTCATCTCGATTTTTGAACCCAGATTTATTCTTCTATTGGGTGGCTGATTTTTTTTAATTTCTATAATTAGTATAAAATTTACAAGAGGCAAGAAGAAAGTAACTGAACTGTCAACTACACATCCACAGGCCAGATCAAGGATAGCTCTATTCACCACCCACTTAACAGCTCATTACTGAATGTGTGTTTAAACACAAAGGATTTTGCCTCTTCCATTCTGCAGTTTGCTGGTGATCGATGGTGACCATTCAGTAGTCCTGGTTACATCACTTTTATTTCAATAGTTGGCAAAGAAAACTTTACTGTACTGTGATGGGTGGAGGAACTGGTTAGTCAGAACCCTGTTTGACAAACTTCTGCAATAATAGCTTTGGAAATTCAGAATATAGCTTACTACTTGTTTCCCCCTCCCTCCCTTCCTCACCACCTCCCCCTTATCTTCAGCTCTTTTTTCCCCTTCCTGGCCCATTCACTACCACCATGTTCTTTAATTCTATCCAGTTCCACAAGATCTTTCCAGCACTGTACAATGGAAAGAATGTTGGTTCTGAAGTCAGGAGACCCTAGGGCAAATCACTTAATTTCTAGGTGCTATAGGAAACTCAGACTATAAATTACAAAGAAATTGCTGACCTGCATAGGTAAAGGGAGTTTCATCATGTGTATATCAACGAAATCTCAGGTCCAGACCCTATCCCCTATCTCGGACAATGTAATGTAGAATGAAGACCAATAGTCCACCCTCAGGACAAAACTAAATAACACAATGTTATAAACCATTGAGCATCAATGCCTTTCAAATAGTATCTTCTTGTGTAGTATCTCCTGCTCCCAAGAGACTACTAGATTGTTAAACAGCTCAACATCTTCTGAGAGCAAGTCTCAGCCAATAAGTTGGGGTTGAAAGTTGAATTCATACTAAATTTCTTTTTGGTTTAATGGTTTCCATATTGTGTACCTGGGAGAAAGCCACTTGACCATACCTCTCTCTTCTTATACTTTCCCTAAGTAAGTCCTAAACTTTCTCTTTTGTAAAAAAACAGAACGGGGGCAGCTAGATTTCGCAGTGGATAAAGCTCTGGCCTTGGAGTCAGGAGGACCTGAGTTCAAATGTGACCTCAGACACTTGATACTTACTAGCCATGTGACCCTGGGCAAGTCACTTAACCCTGATTGCCTCACCAAAAAACAAAACAAAAAAAAAACCAGTATTATTCTCTCAATGGTTTCATGATCTTATAGCCCAGGTCATTTTAGAATAGATGATCTAATTAGCAAACTACAGATTGCAATCTAGACTTCTCTTGCTCAAACTGTTAAGCTGTCAACTTTATGGCTTACTGCAAACCAAAAGATTTTCTTACATGTCTCCTAGATCCATTATACTAGTTTATCAAATGCTGCCCATCACTCAATGTTCTGAGCGGAAAAAGTTAGAACCCAGAAGACCTGATTTCAAAACCTGGCTCTGCTACTTATTGCTTGTGAACATGGGCAAGTCACTTAAACTTCTCTGAAGCTCAGTTTCCTGATCCATTAAATGAGAAGGTTGACCCAGATGACTCCTAAGGTTCTTTCCAGTTATAATCTATGATTATAAAAACAAATTTAAACTGCGAAGACATAGCAAAGACAATCTCAGGTACATGAACAAAAGAGAAGAGGAAAGGAGAAGCAGACTGAATTGTCAGATATCCTTTCATTCTCTAGTCAAGTTACTACAGGATAAATTGTAACCAGCAGTAATCCCCAAAGCTCATTCATTTAGCAAATATTTATTACGTAGATAACACTTTATTGGATCATTATCAAATGGTTTTTATTGTTGCACCTCAAGATACCAGCTTTCAATAAAATATTCCCTATGAATGTGATACTTTACCACTAAGTCAGAGTATAGCTTACTATCTTGTGTCTCAGTGAGTTTCTATTCTAGAAAGCTTGGGTTTAATCAAAGGATAGTTAACTTCTAATCCTCACCTATCTAGACATAGAATTATCAAAGTTATTTTCTTTAGTTCCTACTTCTGATATGCACATAACCTTATTCTCCAGCCCTAAAATACATTTACTCCTGATCTGTGTGTGATATAAATATTTTGCATCTACTTTATATCTTGGTTTACTGCTTTTTGTTTGTTTTGTTTTGTTTTTTTTAGGCAATTGGGGTTAAGTGACTTGCCCAGGGTCACACAGCTAGTAAATGTCAGATGTTTGGTCTGAGGCCACATTTGAGCTCAGGTCCTCCTGACTTCAGAGCTGGTACTCTGTCCACTGCGCCATCTAGCTGCCCCGGTTTACTGTTTTCATTTGGTTGTTTTGTGTCCCTTGTATGTATGTACACATCAGTGTCATGGGTCAGAATCTCTGATAGAATGGACCACCGTGTAATTTTCCATATGTAGGACCTACCGAAATATTATAATTAGGCACTTAAATGTTTCGGTGATAAGTTCAGGAATATTTACAAATATATTATTAATATGGATCCAAGGGATCTCCTAATTGAGGGATATTCTAGGGATTCCAGGTGAATAAGTTGGATCTGAGACCCTCACAGAATTTTGGGCCTTCTCCTAAAGGGCGTGGTTTGGTCCAAGTCTGGGCTCCTTAAAGGTACCATTATAGAATGGATGAGAAATAATCAGTGGGGCTGGGCTTTTCAAAACAGATACACTGCCCTGAAAGTCTTTTAATGTATCCATCCAATTTAAGCTCAGAACAGATCTGGGCACAGCCAAGGGCTGTGTCTACCCAACCTGATGCTACTTATTCAGTTTTAACAGATTAGCAACAGTTCCAGTATTCCACACCCCCTTAGGAACAACAAAATGTTTAACAGTTGTAGCACATGCATTAGGGTGATTATCCCAACTCACACTCACAAGTCCCCAGAGCATGACTACTATGCCCTCTCAGGGCTCTATGATTAGTCCTGAGGGTTTGGGGAGTGTTTTGTTCTAATGTTGTAGCTCACAATCCCCGTGGGTAGCCTTCTTGTCATGACCATCAGTTAAAAACATTAGCTTTTAGGAAGAGTTATCACTAAAATGGTGCACTAAAAACAGCTAATAACAAAACATCCACCCAAAGGTCAGTAGCACCTTCTCCCACAAGT